ATACATCTTTGAAACAAAGCTCTCAAATACTTCTTTGTGGTAAATGTCTTGCCCTTGGATGTGAGTTCTCAAATACATCTTTGTGGTAATTGTCTTGTAGTGTGTCCCCTACTTTTTCTTTTAAGTACTTTATAGTTTCAATTATTATATCCAGATCTTTGTTCCACTTTGAATGAATTTTTTGTGTATGGAATTAAGTATGGATCGTGCATCTTCCTTCTTTTTTGTGGCTATCCATGTTTCCCAGCACCATTTATTAAAGAAACTGTCTTTTCTCCATTTTATGACATTAGCACATTTGTCAAATATTTTTGACCATATTTGTGTGGGTTTATCTCTGGGCTTTCTATTCTATTCCATTGGTCTGAGTTTCTGTTTTTGTGTGGGTCCCATACTGTTTTGGTTACTGTTGCTATGTAGTATATTTTGAAGTCAGGAATCTCTATCTTTTCTTTTCCTCTCAAGAATGCTTTAGCTATTTAGGGCCTTTTGTGTTTCACATAAATTTTATAGTTATTCTATATCATTGAAAAAGGTCATTTGTATTTTGAAAGCATTGCATTGAATCTGTAAATTGCTTTGGGTAATGTGGCGATTTTAATGATGTTAATTTTTCTAATCCATGTGCACGGGATATCTTTCCATTTCTTTGTTATTTCCTTTAACAGGAGATTTATAATTTTAAAATATAAAGATTTGAACATGTTATATGTAGTTTGCACTGATTCTGTAATTTCACATGAAACCATAGTTATATTTCTGTGATGATATATATCCTGAGTCTTTTTCTCTCTTTGGGGTAATGCTATTAGTTACTGTTAGTGCACAACCAAGCAAAACCCAAGGACCCCAAATTGTTAAGGGGAGCACACTCTGAAAGGGATCTGACCATTAGCACACCCAAAGGCAAAGGAAGTAGACTTCTAGAGTGATTGATTTTTAATAGAGTTGGTGTGTATTGAGAGAGAGAAGAAAGGATATTCCTAAAACTCTTGGGAATTACCCATACCCTCATGGGCAAATGCCAGGTCAAACAGGTTTTGCCTGAAGTGGGGCTGCTGAGGCTTGAAAACTTGCCACAAGTCTAAGGTACCTTCTATTAAGGAGCCATAAGAAGTGGCTTAGACATTTTTCGGAAAGCTAGGACAGAAGAAGAGACTCAAAATTCAAAACATACTACATAATCAAATATGAAGCCAAGATAGTGGCTGCCATTGTCTCTGCCAAGGATCAAGAGCAGTATCCCCACAATTCTCTTTTCCAAGTCTCTCCTCTAAGTATCTCTACATGTTTCTCTTCTACGTGTCTCAGTCCACTTTTCTCCTCCAAATATCTCCTTTCAGCAGTCCTAGGCTGCGAGTGAAAGTCAGAAAAGCAGGAAAGAAATGGGCCCACTTGCCTTTTGTGTTATATAGGTCCACCTGGTAACTCAGCTCTAGCCTTAGTTCCCAGTAGTTCTGCTGCTCAGGAAGTCTGGTTCATGACACACTGGGATTTATAGTCCAAGGCAACTGCATGTAAGTGGGGGAGAAAATGGTGCCTTCCCTTCATGAAGGTATATCTGTAACACTATCATTTTGTAATATGATTTATTATCATTCTGTGCTATTAAACACCCTTTGATAATATTCCTATTTGGATGCACAGAGATTTAAGTATTTAACTGGGTTGCCTCCAGTTTTCCCATATTATAAACAATACTGTGGTGAATGTTCTTATATGTTATTGTCTGACTATTTCCTTAGGATGGCTTCCTAGACACAAAATTGCTGGGTCAATGGGAAAGCACATTTTTCCAGGCTCCTGAGTCTTATTACCAAATAGTTCTCCAGAAAGATGGTACCAATTATGTTTCTGCCAGTAGTGTAATTGTTGAAAAGTTCAAGTCCAGCTATGGAAATCCAAAATAAACCAAAGAAGCTGGATGTGTAATCAGTCAGATGACCCAGGAAATTTTGAGTTGAGTTGGAGTTTTCTGGACTGATTCAGGTTGTGTAGGGAAGTGTTACTCTACTCAAGTCTTATCATCAGTCAACAACTACAAGTCCTCCCTAGTTTATCTCCCCATTAGTTCAGATGCACCCTCTCCTCTGTGGTGAAATTCACTTAGGCCCATTTTGACAAACAGGAGGATACCCTTCTTCCAACTCACTTAGACCCATTTTCTCTGAGTCAGGTTGATGGAGAAAGATGATTACCTAGCCAACTAGCCTCTTGCATGGCTTGCAGCTGGAAAGAGCCCCTCTCCTTCTGGCCTCGCTCTTCTTCCCCAAAGTTATTTGGAAACTGCATGAAGCCCTGCATGGAAACAGAAGCCCATCCAGTGTAGGTGCTGCCAGTAACTTCTTCCTATCCCTCTTCTTGTACAGAAGTGGACTTTCCCCTCACATGATGTTTATAGAAGCCTAGATACAGCCTCACCAGCATTACCAACAAGCTTATCACTTTCTCCCCTATTTTCCCCCAAGTCCTGGAGGAAATGAACAGGAATTCTTTTCATGTTTTTAAGTATTTTTGTTGTTGTTGTTGCCTTTGTTATCAGAAGTCAAATCTGAAGCAGAAAGGAAGGGAGGACTCTGGAAAGTTTTTGGCCTCCTATTTTTTCAATGACTTTGGTTCCCAGCTTATCCTGTAATGTTTTGAAATTTCCAAGCTAAAGTGCAGATTAAATTGGAGGACCGGGGTAATGTATGTTGGGGAGACAGTATCATTTCTGGGAGTAGATAAAAAATACCTGTGGATTAGTAGAAAACAACACTGGCCTTAATATAGTGAGACTTTTCAAAACACTGTTACTTGTCATAGCCCCAGACTGGGAGGAGGCCCATATTTATTCACAGTAGAATAAATAATGGTATATTCAGATAATGGAATATTATATAGCAATGAAGAAGAACAAATTATATTCACAAAGAACATGGGTGGCTTTCATAAATGTAATGGGTGAAAGAAGCCTGATACAGGAAAATACCTACTACATGACTCCATTACGTATATGGTTCAATAATAGGCAAGCTGTAACTGTAGTGTTTTGGATGCTTTTTGGATACTAGACTATTAGCAAAGCAAAAAAATAATTTGCATAAAAGTCAGGGTAGTGGATACCTTTGCTAGAAGAGAAGATGGAGGTCATGATGAAGAATGGGCATGACATAATAATAAAAACTGTACAATATTGGAACAAGAACAGACACACAGACCAAAGGAACTGAATAGAAAACCCGGAAATAAGCCCACAGATTTACAGTCAACTAATCTTTGACAAAAGAGCAAAGAATATACAATGGGGCAAAGAAAATTTTTTCAGTAAATGGTGCTGGGAAAACTGGGTCACTACATGCAAAAGAATGAAGCTTTACCACTACCTCACACTATGCACAAAAACCAACTCAAAATGGATTAAAGAACTAGATATAAGAACTGAAACCATAAAATATATGGAAGAAAATATAGGCGAAACACTGCATGACATCACCTTTAAAGAAACATCACCCAAAGCAGTGATAGTGAAGGAAAGGATAAACAGCTGCAACTACATCAAATTAAAGAGCTTCTGTGCAGCAAAAGAGATAGTAGCCAAAACAGGAGACAACCCACTGATTGGGAGAAAATTTTGCAGACAATACTAACGATAAGGAACTGATCACAAAAATCTACAAAGAGCTGATGAAACTCAACAAAAACAAAGTAAATAACCCCATCAAAAAATGGATGAAAGAGGGCTATCCACAGCCACTGCAGCATGAGTTCGATCCCTAACCAGGGAGCAACCCATGGACGTAGTAGACCTCTCCTGATTCACCGGCTGCTCCCCTCAGCACTGTATTTCAGTCATTCTGCTTGTTCTGTTCCCCACTCTGTCTCTGGTGAATCCTCTTACCCCCCACACCTCTGGCCTGTACCCCAGTTCTTGTATGCATAAATTAATAAATATTTTTAAAAAAATGAGCAGAAGAGCTAAAAAGAAACTTCTCCAAAAAGAAAATGCAAATGGCCAACAGGCATGTGAAAAAATGTTCAACATCACTTATAATCAGGAAATGAAAATCAAAACCACAATGAGATACCATCTTATACCAGTGAGAATGGCACATATTAAAAAAACTAGCAACAACAAATGTTGGCGAAGGTGTGGTGAAAAAGAAACTCTACTACACTGCTGGTGGGAGTGCAAACTGGTCCAACCACTGTGGAGAGCTGTGTGGAGGTTCCTCAACCTGCTAAAGATGGAGCTTCCATATGAGCCAGCAATTCCACTCCTAGGTATTTACCCAAAGGACACAAAAACATTAATTCAAAAGGACACCTGCACCCCTATGTTTATTGCAGCACTATTTATAATAGCTAAGCTATGGAAGCAACCCAAATGCCCAAAAATAGATGCCTGGATCAAGATGTGGTACATATACACAATGGAATATTACTCAGCAATCAAAAAGATAAACTCATGTCATTTGTAGTAAAATGGATGGTGCTGGAGGGGATCATGCTCAGTGAAAAAAGACAGAAAGGAAAAGAAAAATACCAGATGGTCTCACTTATAGCAGGAATGTAGAGGCTCCAAATAAAGCATCAGGAAAAAAAAAACAACAACTAATCATAGTAAAGTAAAAATCAAAATCAATAGGCAACTATAAATCAGAGATATACTATGGGGGGAAGTGGGGGAGAAGGGAGTAGGATCAAAACAAGGGTGGGAAGAGCACCCATTCACAGGTGAATGGGTGGTGGGAATTTTACAGGGACAATAACCAAGATGAAAATGCATACAATGTACAAAAAAGAAAAATGATGTAAAAGATATATGAAAGAAATAAAAAGAAATAAATTAAAAAAAAAGAATGGGCATGGTGGGGCTTTTGGTGGTGTTGAGTTATTTCTTGACCTGGGAGATACTTACATGAGTTTTTACTTTATGATAATTCTTTGAGTTTTAAGATGTACATATTGTTTTTCACAGTTTACAAACTGTGTGTTTTTGTATCTGTTTATTCAAAAAGAAATAGTAGCCCAGGCGGCCGCGGAGCTGGGCGCGCGCGGGGAAGAGACTGCTGGGGGCGACAGGCTCATCCATGAGAGGGATCTGGCCTGGCTACAGCAGGCGGATGTGGTCGCGGCAGAAGTGACCCAGCCATCCTTGGGTGTAGGCTATGAGCTAGGACGGGCCGTGGCCCTCAACAAGCAAATCTTGTGCCTGTTCCGCCCCCGGTCTGGCCGAGGGCTTTCAGCCATGATCCGGGGAGCGGCAGATGGCACACGGCTCCAGGTGTGGGACTACGAAGAGAGTGAGGTGAAGGCCGTGCTGGATCGGTACTTTGAGGCTGATCCTCCCCAGCAGTTGGCTGCCTCCCCTGGCCCAACTACTTGACAACCCCACTTTGTTAAATTCCTCTGATGCCAGATTCTGCTCTATACCATTCCTACCTCCCAGTCCCATACAAATTAAAAGGTGGGGCTCCCTGGTGGCCTAGGGGTTAAGTCTCAGCACTGTCACCGTGATGGCCTGAGTTCAATCCCCAGGCAGGGAGCTGACCCACATGGCACACAGACCTCTCCTGTCTTGCCTGCTGTTCCCCTCAGCAGTGTACTTCGGTCAGTCTACCTGTTCTGTTCCCCACTCTGTCTCTGGTGAATCCTCTCACAGCCCCCCCCACCTCTGACCTACACCCCAGTTCCTCTATGCATAAATAAATAATAAATCAAAAAAATAGAAAAAGTTAAAAAAAATTAAAAGGTGTGTTTACAAAAAAAAAAAAAAAAGAAATAGTAGCCCAAATGGAGTCATTTGTGCCAAGTCCCTCCAAGACTTAATACCTAATCTAACTGCAATTTCACCGAAACTAATTCACCTAAAGTGTAATTTTAAAACAATCCATGTGAAAATTCTTGGTCACTATTGAGGTAATCTGCTTAAGAGCAATCTGCCTTCCCTTGTGAGAAAGTGATTTTGCTGAAATAATCTTGTTTTTCTATTACCAGTAACCTTGTCTTACTCTTTTTCTGACTTTGAAAGATCCCATTTTGTGCAACTCCTTAATAATGCTTTTCTTTTCCCTAAATAGATGCTGCCTGATTCATGAATCATTGAGTAAAATCAATTAGATCTTCAGTTTCATTCAGATAGATTTTGTTTTTTGATAGCATTTTTCAGAAAGATCGAGGGTCAGTATTTTCAGAGTAAGTCGCTTGTTGACTCAAACATTCTCCACCTATGATGATAATTGAGAACCTCTCTGAGTTTGCACCTTGTTAAGGCCGTTCTGGTGGAGAACAATCAAGGATGTGTGACAGGGCAGAGAAAGGATACCGACCCAACTAGGAATCACAAATCTGTTTCCATACTTGTCTATTTAACCCCCTCAAAGACTCAGGGCAGCAAGAATCACAAAAGAATCATTCTATTTTAGAAGGTGAAGGATAATGTATTAAAGAGAAATTGGTGATCGGTCATGGTAGTGCGATAACCTTGGTCCTGATGCGACTGTGTGGCCTACTCTGCCCACTCTCTGCTCCTGAGTCACTTCTTCCCCAGCACTGCACAGCAGGATGGCCCACAGGAAGATCTGTTCAGCAAGTACTGCAACAAGCCCTATGAGTACTGACATGCCATGTTACCAGAGAACTTTGCAAACAAGTAGCCAATACCTGTCTGAGGTCTGAAAAGTAAAGGAGACTTGGTGTTCAACAGACTCAGAACTGGGTTCATAACACAATTTTTTTTAAAGATTTATTTATTTATGCATATAAGAACTGGGGTACAGGCCAGAGTTGTGGGAGGGGTGTGTGACAGGATTCACCAGAGACAGAGTGGGGAACAGAACAGAAAGATCGACTGAAGTACACTGCTGAGGGGAGCGGCAGGCGAGTCAGAAGAGGTCCTCTGTGCCATGTGGGTAGCTCCCTGGCTGGGGATTGAACTTGTGCTGCAGCAGCTGCAGCAAGCTTATAGTTTGTGTCTTAACCTCTTGTGCCACCAGGGAGGCCCCATAACACAATTCTTGAGCCAGAACGACATATTCTTTTAGGTGACTTCTTCTAAAAGGTCATTCACAATGGAGTATACCTGGGGATTGTCAATGAAGGCTTTTTCCAATTTAATGTTTCTCTGTAAGTAAGTTAGTATTCAGTGAATACTTGAAAAATGTACAAATTGTTCATCCATAGCTGTGCATGAGTTGTATTCTTCACAGCAAGAGAGCTCAGTTAAAGGTAACTGCAAGTGGTTTGCTGCGAAATATTTAAGGCAAAATTTCTTCTATTTATTCTTTTAAAATTTGTGCCTGTTCAACTTTACCTGCTACTGTGAAATAGATTTTGTACTTAAATAAAATAAAGGTAGTATTAAAAAAAAAAAAGAAATTGGTTAAAATCAGATGGCCTAAATTCAAAACTTGTCCAAGCCTGAGAAATCTATAAAACCAAGCAGAAAAATACCCCCTTCCAGTGCTCTGGGGAGGAACAAATGAGCTAACTTAATGAAGTGCCTGACACATGTAGAAATAATATCCTCATTTGATTCAGGACGACATTGAGACTGAGTCTGGTTGGGACTTGCCCAAGGTCACCCAGCAGGCAAGGAGAGGAGTCCAGAGTCAAAGCTGGGACCCAGGGCAATCTCTCCAGGACCCATGGCATCCCCCAGCACTGGGACAACAGAGGCAGCCTCTGGGTTCTGGGGGAGGAAACAGTTCCATTGCCTGTGTGGGGAGGTATGCCACAGAGATGTGATATTTGAGCTGATCCTTGCAGAAGAGGAGAAGCATACTGGGTAAAAGAGTACAGACCTGTCCAAATTCATGGAATCCCAGGGAAATTGTGGATGAACAGCTAAGTCATTGGACTTCTCTATGAGTCAAGTTTCACATGCATGGAATGAAGACAAGAATAGCTACCCCACTTACTTGAAAGTGTTATTCTAAGGATGGAAGAAGAGTAAATTTGAAAGTTCTTTATAAATTATTCAACATGATACAGATACAAGATTGTGTGTGTGTGTGTGTGTGTGTGTGTGTGTGTGTGTGAGACCCCACCCAGGGAAAATTAAAAACTTGGCTTACCTCTGTGGGTGAAAGAGGAAATCAGGACTTTATTTTTTGACTTATAGAGACCACTTCCTAACCTAGGACACATGAGAATAAAGGGAAATTCCTGCAAATACGAAACCAGGAGAATACCTAGCACATGTTTTAAACCTGTTACCTAAATTAAAAAAAAGAAAAATGCACCCAATTAAACCTAGACCATATAGTGTACGTGTATGCATGTATAAAATATAATATATGTATTATATATTATAACAAATATATTTGTTATATTTTACCACATGTTAACAGTATGAAACTGTTAGCACAAACTCTAGGATGTCTAAGATATGTTGGCAGCAAATATGATTTTAAGGGGGTGCCCCTCAGAATGCAATCTGTGAAAGGGGGCAATGCAGTAGCCCTAGGAATGGCAACAATTTTCCCTGTCCCTCTTACATGTATGACAACTCCCAGCAGGCCATGAACAGAGTTCCTGAATTGGGGGTGGGGCACTGGGTAGGAGGAAGGAGAAACACACGGGGTAGAGACATACTTGGGTGAGAGACACATAGGGAGGCTGCTCCAGGTCCTTGATCCTGGTGGCTTTAGCTGTTGACAGAAATGATGACAGTCATTATTCATTATTTTGATTATATGGTCCATTTTGAGTTTTAGGTCTCTTTTTTAAAAGATTTATTTATTTATGCATACAAGACTGGAGTACAGGCCACAGGTCGGGGGGTGGTGATGAGAGGATTCACCAGAGACAGAGCAGGGAACAGAATAGGCAGATTGAAATACACTGCTAAGGGGAGCAGTGGGCGAGTCAGGAGAGGTCTGCTGCGCCATGTGGGTAGCTCCCTGGCCGGCCAGGGATCAAAATCATGCTGCAGAGACTGCCATTAGCTTCACAGTGCTGTGCTTAACCCCTTGCACCCCCGGGGAGGCCCCTAGGTCTTTCTTTCTATTCCAGCTCTCTAGGACCTGCCTAACCACTTTCCGTGTTTCCCTGCAAGGAAGTGTCTTAAACTTATGGCAAGTTTTAGGCCTTAGCTGCCCACTTCGGCCTGAGCTTGTTTGATTCAGCATTTCTCCATGAGGATATAGGTAATTTTTGGAGTTTGGGAATCTCCTCTCTCTCTCCCTTTTTATGCTCACCAATTAAAGATCTTTGAGCACACTAAGAGTATGCTCTCTGCCTTTGTGTGTGTGGATGGCCAAACCCTTTTAAAGCAGGCAAATGGGTTTTTTCTCCTTAACAGTTTGGGGCCCCTGGGTGCCCCTTGGTCACACAGTTACAGGGCCAAGGATGAATCTGTCTTTTGGGAAAACTCAATGAACCAAGGACTCAATGAACTTCATTAATGAAATCATTCACATTCCTCTGGCATTTTGTGATCCTCTTAAAATATTAATAGCTGATACTCCCTCTGCGCTTCATGCATGGTTACATTTGTATGATATCTTACCATTAAATTAATATTTAATTATAAAAAGCATTGTTAATTGTTACAACAATCATGTAAGATATGCTACTTCACTCACCTCCATTTTACAGTTAGGAAGACCTTAGGTAACCTGGTCTAGGTCACACAGCTCATCAGAGGTGGAATTTGAACCCAGGTGGGTCTGATTCTAGTCCATATGTTTATCCATATCCCTCCACCGTATATCAGCCTAGTTAATTTACCAATGACAGTGACCACATATAAGAGAAAACTATTTATTTTTTATCATCTACTTTGAATTCAGTGCATCTTATAGAATACAGGTGAGGGTCCCTTATACCTCTGAGAGGTGTTTCTGAGTGTTATAGTGTCTCATGAGGTTTTTTTTTTTTTAAAGATTTATTTATTTATGTATACAAGAACTTGGGTACACGTTCTCCCCATTGGCGCAGCGGTTGAGCACTGGGTTGCGAAGCTGCCCGCGGCCTCTGCAGCGCCGGTTTGATCCCCGGCTGCTCCCCGGCCACCGGAGGAGGGTCCCACATGGCGCGCAGACCTCTCCTGCCGCCCGCTGCTCCCCTCAGCAGTGTACTTCGGTCTTCTGCCTGCTCTGCTCCCCGCTCTGGCTCTGGTGAATTCTCTCACCCTCCCGCGCTTCTGACTGTACCCAGTGCTTGTATAAATAAATAAATAAATCTTTAAAAAAAAAACACAAAATTTTGAGACTTTAAAAAGGTATAAAAATGGCAGTGCTAATGAAAGCACTGGAGATAGAGAAAATGATCAGGAACTGAATGAAGTCCTGTGGTGATGGTAACAGTGAAGATTGAAAGAAATGAGTGAAGAGAGAGGAGAGTCTGCGAATCAGTCAGAGTCTGAGGGCTGTGGCTTCACCT